TAAAAAAAATCAATTGGAAAAAAGTATTGTAACTACCTCCGATAATTTTGGAATTAAGTTTTTCTTAACAAAATAAAAACGTTTGCAAATAATTATTTTTAAAATCGTATAAATTCAAATTATAAAGATGTATACAATATCGCGAGATGATGTTTCTATAATACAATTATGATGTTTTTCATGAAATATTCTTCTTATATAATTTAATTAAATAATGTTCAAGTAAATACATTATGAAATATTCTATCAACTCGCCGATTATAATATGACAATTATTTAAATAAATTTAAAATCAAATATATATATATATATATTAACCCTTTAACCCTTTCCACTCTATCTTATTTACCAAGCCCTAAATTCATCACGCAGATACCTCTCTCCCGTAGCGCTGCCTCCGCCTACAACACAGTCCGCGCCGCCGCTGACCTCTTTCAGCCACGCCCGCTGCCGCCGCCAACCTCTCCAGCCATGCCCGCCGCCGTCAAATAACCGTCGCTGCCATCAATTCCTATTCCATCTGCACATCCGCACTTGACAGAAATCGGTAACGACGCACAATTCCTCTTCTATTTAACATTTGACGAATCTTCCAATGACAGATTCAACTAAGCGAGATCTCAAGGCTTCTATTAAATCCGAAATGAAGATAACGAAGCACATTAAAGTACCATCTATACCATGAAAGATAGCAGATTTCAATATGAGAAGCTCTTTCGGCCAAGCGGACACATTTGGTGGTTGTATTTTCAATACTGCGCAATGTTTTCATAGTGATCATGCGTCATTCTTGATTAGTCTCTTTTACAAAAACATATAAACACAGTTATTCTTAAAAATATTTTTGTTGGCCTTCGGACACGTACGATGTATATTCATGACACATATGTTTAACTCATGATAGACTGATGATACTAAACATTATTGTGCGTATTTTTATTTCATATTATAGTTCATATTTATGATTTACATATTGCATAGTTATGATATATTTATCAGATTTAAATGATGGACTATGTTAGATATATTTTTCACCATTATATTTATAAATATGATATATAACTTCAGTAGGTCATATATAAATTATGTAAGTTGCATATAGGGATGTTGCACGTATAGTTATGATATATTTCATTTTTATGATTTTTATTTATGATTTATATATTGAATAATTATGGTGTATTAGTCAAGTTTAAATGATAGATTATGTTATATATATTATTCATCATTATATTTATATGTATAATTGAATGACAACATTCTTTGGACATGTTTGTTTATTATTGAGGTAAACTTTACTATTATTTTTGTACTTTTTTTTATTGCGGCAATAATGAATGTATTGTATATTTGATTTTCACTTTTTGCATTTGTTTTTGCACAACAAATATTTGTCAATACGCAATCTACAATATGACTTGTACGCATTATTGGAGGTTGAAAAAGATGCATTTGTCAAATAGTCGTCACCTGAAAAGTTAAATGATATATATTGTTCTAAGATATGTTGTTTATTTTACGAAATTTAGTATTATGATGTCGCTTGTGCGCGAATATTGAGTAATTAAATTACTTGCTTTCGTTTTTTTAGGTAGTAGTATATGATTGAATAATTTTTTTTATATATTTTTTAGGTATTTGAATAATGAAAAAAATAATAGATATGATTTAATTTGAAGACTGTTCAAACTTTCATACTTGTAGGATGTTGATCTTAACTTTAAGGGCAAATTATTTTAATTCAACATTTTAAAATTTGGATAAAGTTATACTCTTTATCTTATTGGTTTCAAATATAATTTCATAGAGCAATCGATTAAATTATATTAGAAAATTAAAATTTTTAAGTGAGTACTTACATAAATTCTACAAAAACACAATAAAATTTCAAATCGTCTTAAGAAAATAATGTAAACCATTTTTTTTTTTAAATTTCAGGCTGCATATCATTCGCACATATATTGGATTTGACAATGTGTTTGTTTGGGGGATTGGATTGGATTTACACTATTCATTCAATTTTTTTCCCCCGAAAATATCAAATCAAACACCTATTTTTCATTTTTTATATTATACTAAAAATCAATTTTACATTCAAAACATTACATCAACATCTATTTATATCACATCATACAACTATTCAAATTCAAAATTTTTACTATTCAAATTCCAATTCAAAATTCAAACCCCCAAACAAACACACCCTTAAGTCTTCTATTGTTAATTCTTGTGTGCAGTTATTTATACGTGGATCGACTAATACGACTATGATGCATATATATTTAGAATATGATGTTTAGAAAATATGTATATGATGTAATAAAAATTCGTCAATACGTTACTTTCGCAATTGATAAAAAAACTTACCCCATTCTGTAATTTCTAAAACGTTATCTTCGTCCAAAATACACTGGAACTGACCGAAATGCATATCATTTTGCTTCATCTTGTTCTACGCTCCGACTTTTCACAATTTATTTTCTTAGATGGATATCGGTGAAAGAAGATGTAGTTATTTTTTTTTTTTATGTGAATTGACTAAAATTATGAATACGACCTGCATCTATCTGTATTCATATTCCCCTAATTTATGGGGGGAACAAAACATTGACTTATTAATTATTAAAATTAAATTACATGTTACCCCTAACTGAAATCTCATTTGTTGATTAAAATTTTGATAGGACGGTTGACAATTTTTTAGGATGGTCCTGAATACCACCCGGATTGTTAATGAAACACCCTCTCATTGTCCAAAAATGATGTTCGGTTCTAAATAAAGTCCTAAATTACTCAAAGTTTTATACAAATAAAAAATTATTTTTTGAATAAAATAAATAAATAAATAATTGATCAATCATTTATTTTTATAGTTGATTAATCAATTATTTATTTATTTATTTTATTAAAAAAATCATTTAAAATATTTTAAGCTTTTTAATTGTGTATAACTTGCATAATTTAGGTATTTATTTAGAACCAAATATCAGTTTTGGTCAAATATAATGTTTCGTGCAAACTTTTAATAACATTTTTACCCTATAATTTTTTATTGACATTTAAAAATGCTTTAATATAATATAGAAAATAATGAATTTTGTATTTTATTCTATCAAATGTCATACTGAATAATGCTAAATAATACATAAAATTATCTCAATCGGTGAAATCAATTAAAAAAAATGCTAATTTATTTTAATTAATAATAAAATATAATACAACAATGAATAACAATATTGTATATGTTACCTCCGATGTGAGTCCATTTTGAATTTTTTCAGCATACTCACAATATGCATTCTATGGTGTTGTAAATTTCATAGAATATCAATTTAGGATTTGTTGACAATGTGATATCTATTGAATTTTAAAATATTTTCATACAATTTAAAAAAAATGCTGAATTTTGTAATTAATCTCATCAAATGTTAGATGTTAAATTCAGCCTAATAAAATGCTAATTTATTGTAATTTAAAATAATTTGGATATTTTAATACAAAATAATTACTAATACTTATTATCCAAATTTTTAACTAATGCAAACAAGATTCTAAAAGTTAGACTATTTTTCCAAATTTTGAAAAACGATGAAAACAATTAAGTTCAAACAATTTTTTAAGTTATTCTTCAGATTTTTTTAAACATACAATAATTTATCTATCTATCTAATTTTCTAGCATTAATTAATAAATAAGGTACACAATTTCATAAATCAAATTCACTAAATGAAACCCAATATAATATCTAGATTTTATTTACTATGGTTAGACAATTTAACTTCTGTCACACACTATTGGTGAAAGAGATGCAAGAGAAAATATAATTCCATATTCACTTTGAAATCATATTTTTATACACTATAGAGGCGAGAATGGTCGATTCGTGTCGGGTTGACTACTTTAAACGGGTTAAATTACTCAACCATAACCCGAACCCGTTTATTATTGTGTCGAGTTCGTGTTAACCCATTTATTATCGTGTCGGATTCGGATTGACTCGTTGACCCGTATACATAATTAAATCTAATTTCTTGATTCAAATTAAATAATTTTTTGTTTTGTTGTCGTGTTATGTTAATTTTTAATGATTTGCGCGTAAATTAGATTGAATTATTTAAAATTAAACTTAATTTAAATTAATTTATGAAAAAAAATTAAATTATAATTATTTTATATATAAAATAAATATATTAATCAATATTAATATATTATAATCGGATTATCGTGTCAGATTTGAGTTGAGAGTCTCAACTCTAATCCGACCCGTCTATTATCGCGTCGGGTTCGTGTCAACCCGTATACATAATTGAGTTGAAATCTTTGACCCAAACCCAATTATTTCGTGTCGGGTCGTCGTGTCGGGTCAGTTTTTGCCCGGGTCAATTTTTGCCCGCTTTAATACACTATAACGGAGATATACAATTATACCTATACACACAAGCTCATTGGGCTTAACCATAAAAACTAATATCTAATGAAAGAATAAGGTAAGGACAACAAAAGGAATAGATACATGTCAAGAAATAAGAAACAGGTAAAAGCATCTGCCCCTAATGCATACATCTCATAGTCATCAAATCCAAATCTTCCAAAAACCATGGCATAATATGTTGCACTAGTACAGAAAAAAAATTTCGATCAACAAAATGTAAAAGACTATCAAAATAATACTACATCCACAAGAACTTAACACTACAATGTAACTAAGGAAACAAAACAAATGTAAAAGCACAACTGAAGGAACTAAATCAATTAACCAATATACTGAAATACCACTTGTTCAGACACCGGACGAAATCAACATATGTCGGACAGAAATTAGAAAACATTAGGAAAATACTGGATTAGATTTATACATAAACAAAAACCAAAAAAAAAAAAAAAAAGAAAGAGAAGAGCAATGCCCACATATTTGACAATCTACTCAGGCTACACAATTACCTCGAGTTGGCTGCTTCCACAAATTCGCTTCTTGTCCTTAAACATTGGCACATTTGGACACCCATATATGTTTTTCAGGTCAACGCTTGTATAGGAATTTTATAATGCCACTGCCATACCCATTAAGTTTCATCCTCTCTGACAGTAACTTTCTTTGAAAAGGATGGTTTCAACAAAGAGAATCATGGCCAGGGCTATCAGGGTGGATATCCATTGGAGTATCATTCAAGCTAGGGGGGTTCGAATCCCGGATTTGGCTACCATTGTTTGCAAAGTGGCTTCCTTGCTGTGATAAGTGGTAGCTCTGGAGACTACGACGAATGGGGCTAGAGAGCGCATTGGAGAAAATGGTGTTCTTGGATTGGTCTAGGTTTCCTGGGCGTGTTCCTTGTCCAACAGTAGTAGCAGGACCACATCCATTAGAATGTATGGCAACTCCTGAGTGAGCTGTTGGCATTGCAGAATGAGATGGGTTCTGTGGCTGAAAAGGAACCCTAGGGGAAGATGGATGCTCATCTGTTCCACAATCAAATTCATTCTGCAAATAGTTTAATTCATTGAAAGAACATGTTGTTAGAAGGATACTGCCTATGTTATGCATTCCCTCGGGGAAAGGTTAAAACTACTCGCATGCAGCATAAAAGAAGAAATCAAGATACAGTGAAGTATGAAAGTTCATATGTTTGAAAATGTAAAATCAATCCAGAATTTGCTAGTAACATCAATGGATTTCTTTCTTTTGGAATAGAACTCTTCAAAATAAGGTTTAACTACTCGAGATACCATATCATTTTTAAGAGAAGAACAACTGCAAACATATAATCAAACTTTATCTTTCATTTCCTTACACAATCAATGCATGCATGAATGAACCAAGTTATTATGAAAACACCATACCACAAGTTACTCCAACCTATAAACAAATAGTGGCACAATATAAATTCAGCAGCTGCAACAGCAATAAACATGTGCCCCTCCCGATTAGGTAGAGGTATTGTAAGAACATAAACAGGCATCTTGTTAGAAAGGTAAATACTCATCAACCACTTGGAAGTGTATAACAAGAAAAGAAATGTGAAGGCATTCCATTCTGGATTACTCACACACACTTACACAAAGCTTAACAAATTATCTTAAATATTTTTTTCAATTCCAGCAACAGTAAACTAGAAAGAACAATGGAAATCATTTGATCAACAAGAAATCATAGCAGAAAAGCTCAACTACATCCAGCCTAAGCCTCAACCAACTCACTTTGTCTAAGAAACATAAAACCAGAAAATACTTCTAGGGTGCTATTATGAAGATGCATAACCAGAACAGTCTCTCCTTCTAATTTGTCTCTATGACTTGCATCCATGTTCATAACCACCAAATATTTGATTCTAAATTGCAAGCTAACAACAATTATAAGCTGCATACACATAACAATTAACAACCCACCACAGTATATTCTTCATATGCAAGCCAGTAATACAAGAGAAATAAAAAAAGTAAAAAGGAATTGGCATATTAACAGGCATTACCAAATTATCAAGCAATCACAAATAAGTCAATGCTAGTTCACAAGAAGTAGAGAATAGCTATAACAAAATTAGCAACCGAATGAACCTCAATATATGCAATGATGTCAGCAGGCATTACTCTAACTCCATCTTCTTGCTGCCTCAAAATCCAACTGTAAATTTTCTCCTGCATTGAGAGAAAAGAAGGTCAAAAACAAATAATCTAGATTAATTGTTTTCGGGAACCCAACAAAAACAATAGCTACCAATGCCAGCAAAGACATCAAAATCCTATACAGCGTGCATTCCAACCTTAAGGAATGGTCTGTCCACATAACATTCAATCCAGGTGAACACGAAGAGCGAGAAGTCCGAGAACAAATCCATTTTCTTTCAATTATCAGCAATGGCCTTCAGAACGAACAGGAATTGAATTGACAAACAACTCAACCTAAATCCCCATATGACCACTCTATCCCGTCCTAAACAAACCGTTTCCGACTAACGCCGCCCCCCAAACGAAACCCTCAATTGACGAAAAGCCCCCAAACCCAGGAGCAAATAAAAAAGAAAATAATAACCAATCAATAATAAAATTGAGCAAAATCAATCGATTGCATAGACATATATATATAGAGAGAGAGAGAAGGCTAAACAAACCAAGGCGTGGCGTTCGCCGGCATGGAAAGAGGAGCGCTGGTGGTGCATGGCCTGCGAATACAACTGAGAGAGAAAGTTTGCCGCACCGCAGAAGGATGTGTACATTCCTCGATCCACCTCATCAAGCCTGGTGGCGTCGGATTTCCTCTTCTTGGCCATCCTTGCGGATTCGCAAAAACCCTATTTGAGATGAATCTCCGTGCTCGAGTTCACAAATGGAGGAGAATGGGCCTTTTATACTGCGAGGGTGGGTGCTTTGTCATATCCGGCCTGCCACGTGGCATTACAGCATGGCATGGCAGGTGCCGCCTCTATTTGGCTATGAGCACGTCCGAATATTTCACTCCACACCCATTCTACAATGCTATTCCCATTTTACCCTCCCTAGAGGGTGTCTAAAAACAACATTATTGTATACGAAAATTTGTATGTACGAGTATCTTGATTGATGAAGGTTATCGTTTGACACAACGTGAACTATGACAATAATCTTAATTTTGATAATTTGTTTTATGAAATTAAGTCGATGATAAATATGTCGATTCTTACCATCATACATTGTGTTTTATGCTCTATCAATTACAGATTTACTGTCACAATAAAGGGTAATGACAGAAACATGTTTGTCCGATTATGGAATGTCCTTAAGAAAGTGGCGAATTTTTTCCGCCTCATCTTCAGCTTTGTCCAAAGCAATGAACTCAAAACAATTTTGGACTTGACATTAATTGTTTGTTATGAGAATTTCTAGGAGAATGTTGCACCAACTAGTGTAAACACATATCCACTAATTGATCTTGAATTGAATGTGTTAGATATCTAATTTATATTTAAGTAGTCTTCTACTACAACCGGATGTCTGTTATAGTACAACATATAATTTCAAGTGTGTCGTAAGTACCTAAGTACGTGAACAATGGATTTCCAATGCTCGCGACTTGGATTGCTCGTTTACGTGCTCAATTTTCCTATAGCATAAACTATATCATGTCTGGTATAACTCATAAGGTATATCAAGCTTTCAATCATTCAAACGTACTCAATTTGAGATTTGTTCTCTCTATGGTTTTTGAATAAATGGATACTTGTGTATAGTGGGTTTCTCGCTATTCCTATGTCATCATTGTTAAAATTTTCAAATATTTTGTCTACATAATAAGTTTGACTTAGTATCAGGCCATCATTGGTTCTTTTGATCTAGATTTCTAAAATCACATCAACGAAACCTATATATATCATGTCAAATTTAGAATTTTACATGTCTTTTGTAGATTTGATGATTTTATCATTGCTACCCATGATAAGTATATCTTCTAAGTAAAGACATATAATTACATAACTTGACTCAGTGGTCTTTACATATATACACTTAATTACTATGCATCATGGTATGATTAAATTTGTCATGCTATTTCTATGGAGCTTGTTTAAGTCCGTACAATGATTTTACAATTCTACACACTTTATTTTTTTTTTCTTGGAATAGTAAAACATTATGGTTATTCCATGTAAATTTCTTATCAATTTCTCAATCTAGCTATTTTGACATCCATTTGATGTATTTAAAGATTTCGCATAACAGCTATCACTAGGATCATCCTAATGGATGTTATTCTTATGACATGAGAACATATACCAATATAATCTAGTCATTCTCGTTGTCTATAACATTTGATTACAAGTCTAGCCTTGTACTTGTCCATTGTGCCATCCGGTTTAAGTTTCCCGTTGAAGATCCACTTTTATCCGAGACGTTTTGAGCTAGGTAGAAGATCTACAAGTTCCCATATGTAATTATAAAGAATAAAATCGATTTCACTTTTTATGACTTCTTTTCAGAGGGGCGCTTCAGAAGATCTCATAGTTTGTCCATACGTTTGAGGCTCGTTTATAAAAGATATATGAAATAGTCATCTTTAAATGACTTTTCAACTCATACTCGCCAGCTTCTTTTGAGCTCAGGTTCTTGACATAGTTCGAATTCAGATTTGTCTCTTTCCATGCATCATTTTTTGAAAATATGTTCCTACAAAAGTAGGTGCGAAATATAGTTCGGCCAACCGAGAACACGAAATATTGGGTCAAGATATTCCATTATTGTATTTTTTTGGGATATACGGAAGTTTTTGAATCGAATACCAAGGGTGTGTTTCTTTAGGGAGGTTTGGGGAAATTTGCGTTTGAGTTTGGTTTTTATTTGAATTTTGGGATGAGTTTGAATTTTGTTGTTTCTTTTGTGTGTTTGGATTTGGTTAGGGTTTGGGTTTGGGGAGTTTTGATGTGTATTGATATGATGGATAATGAATAAAATAATATAAATATATATTAAATTTAATTGAGAAAATTCATATTGTATGATTTGATTATGAATTTATATTATATCTAACATATATATTTAAATTTTTATTTATTTGTATTATAAAAAATTTTATTCTCTACAAAATGACATATATATTGTATATTTTTTTAACTTATAATAATTATAAATATTAAATAAATAAAATATTTGAATTATATTTATATTTTAAATTTAAAAAAAAAAAAACAAAGTGCAGCTTTTGTGCTGCTCTGCAGCGGTTTGCAGGTCTTTTCTGCTGCACTGCAGTGGTTTGCAGGTTCGCCCGATTTAGCGCCCAAATCACTGTGCACGGTGATTTTGCCCAAACCGGGCTTGGAGAAAGATATCCCAAGAAACAATAAACAATACTGTTATGTACATATTTTATGTACATAAAGGGTTTTTTCCATTTTTTTCTAAGAAATGATGTTGAAGCATATAATACTGCTTAAAATAGCTCCTCTACCCCCCACATGTTTTGGGGCAGTCCACAACTTAATAACATCACATTCATTATTTATTTTAATGTGTGATTCACCCATCGGAATTTCGTATTTTCTATCTTTATCACTTTAATTCGTTTAATTTGTTTGTTAAGCTGATTTTCTACTTTATTTTTGTACAAAATAAATTTACTTAGTACCTCATAATTTCTTTTTTAAATAAATGCACATAACATAATTTTGTATAATCGTCAATTAATGTAATAAAATATTTATTAACACCATGTGTTATTCTGAATTTTAAATCGCATACATCATTGTAAATCAATTCAAGAGGTTCAATTTCACGTTGAATTGTTTGGAATGACGATCAACTTTGTTTTGCTTCAACATAATTTCACATTTATATTAATTTAATTCAAACAATGGTATATGGTTTAAACTTAGTAATTGATGTATTGAATTATAATTAACATAACCTAATAGATTATGCCATAAAATAGAAAATTCAACAATATAAGAAACAAACTTATTATTATTTTCAATGACTCTCGTAATAAATCATTTCAATAATTCATTCTCTACAGATCCCTTATCCACATACACTTCCGATTTGTGCAAAATAAAATTATCTCCATTCATATTAATATTAAAGTTGTGTTTTATCAAGAGCATTCCCAAGACTAGATTTTTTGTCATTGCCGGCACGTACAAAATATTGGTTAGCATCACAACTCTTCTAGACGTCATTTTCAAAAGCCTTTTCCTCTCCCTTTGACTTTGGCAGGAGCATAATTTCTCATGTAAATCATTTCTCTTTTGATAGGCTTCAACAAGAAGAACTGATTCATGTTCATACATATATGGCATATTGCTCTCGTGTCGAGCCACTATTGTTTCTTACTCGATCATACCAAGTTTTCCTAAGAGACAACACATGTCAGATCAAATGGTTCTTCCTCTTTAGTAACAATGTTTGTCATATTTACCTATTTCTCCATTTTCAGCCCCTTGCAGTTTGTCAAACGGTGTCCTAACTTCCTACAATTGAAACAATTGCCCTTGAATCTACTCGTCAATTTTGCTTTTGCTTTATCAACGCCGCCAAATGGCTTCAACTTCTCATTGTCCTCGGAGCAGTCTTGAAATGAGAGCCTTGGTCTTTATGTTCGATCACATTGGCCTTGCTTCTAAGCATCAAATATTTATTACTTGCTATATTCGATCTATGCTACACTTCAGTTTAGAGATGATTGATGAGTCTCGTCATATTCGTTCCCTTCCGTTAGTGTTTCAATTAAAGCTTAAAATCACTTCAACCAGACGGTAATTTTTCAATTATCATTGCTACTTGGAAGGTTTCACTCAACTCCATCCTTTCGGCCTGAAACTTACGTAGAATCAATTGAAACTTATCAAACTACTTCGTAACACTCTTTTCGTCCACCATCTTGAAATTAAAAAACTGTCCCACAATGAATTTCTTGGCACTAGCATCATCGGTGATGTACTTTTTCTCTAACGTCTTCCACAACTGTTTAGTCATTAGGGCACACATGTAGAAACCATACAGAGAATTGTTCAAGTCGTTAAGTAAATAATTTTTGCACATAAAATTTGAACAATTTCAGACTTTTATAGTAAAAAATAATAAATATGATATATTTTTTCTAAAAAATAAACGAGAATATTTTTTTATAATAATAATTGATAACAAAATTTGATAGTTATTGTAGGTTGTATATCAATTCGCAGGGAATTTTATTCGAAAATCAATGAGTAGAGTTTTTATAGAAGAACGATCAGATATAACAATTGTGTGGTTGTAGACCCTGGATAGTTATCACAATTATTTATACTCTTTTTACTGGTGAGTTTCCAGGTCGAACACAAGGATTTAAAGTCATGAATTTCAATGGTAAAAATCTTGGAGAAGCGACGAAGAAAAGAAAAGGGTCCGCTTGGAGCGGGCTTGAACCTTCTACTGAAAGCGGTAAATAAATCAGTAAAAATAAACGGAGACGAGCGAAGCGAAAGCGAGAGGCAGAGTTCCAATGGTAAACAAATGATCGGGGTATGGATGAATCGCGGTTACCAGAGGATTGTGATGTGAGTGAGCGGCATATTATATGTATATGTATATGAGCGAATTAAAGTGAATGAGAGGCGTTGTGTCTGAACTGTGCGTTGCGAAATGGGTAGATTTCCCTGGATGCAGCGAGCGAATGACGTAAATGTGTTATCGGAAGCATATATGTATATTACGAAAATGATGATAGAAAGATGTTGTAATTACATAAACTCGATTATAAAGAACTCATCACACTGGTATTTTGGCCTGGGGGGATTTACAATAAGACTTCAATGACACCCAGAATTAAGACATTATAAGAAAGAAACGCTACTGTCACTAGGAATTTCTGCGACCTAATAGACCCCCGTCTATGTCCCGTTAATTTTCCCAATTTCTACCTCATTAGTGGCTTTACCCCATGATGTTGGTACTATTTTATCAGAATCAAATTTAGCACAGTAGTTAAGTAGGTCGACAAGGCTCCCGCGTACCTAACTACGTTGAACTACCTTGAGACCGCTTTTGGCGCATCACAAGGCTTAATTAATCAACTCGTCTCTCGCTCTATACCAGTGATATGAAATTCTCTAAAATTGATTTATATAAGTATGGAAAATTGTGGAAGAATTTAATTTGAAGAAGGGAATGATATTTCCTTATATACTACGAAAACGCGAAAAGGATTAGACTACAAAACTGTAAATGAAAGCAGTAATCTAATCTAAGAAAGCATTAAAGACGTGGCCAAGGGAGAGGGAAGACGCCCACTCCCTTGGCCTTTCCTGTGGAGAACTCCCTTACAAGGTTGGAGCTCTCGGAAAACAGGAAGACGACGAACGCTGTGTATATTCTGAAATTGTCCAAGAATTCGATCAATCTACATAAAGATATCTGGCCCTATTTATAGCAGGTGTAAAGAGATGGTTGCAAGAAGTTGTTAGGCAGTTCCAACCGCTGGGCAGTTAGGCGGTTGCTGGTGGTTATTCTGTTAAAGCAGTTGCTGGCCATAACTCCCAGGGTGCTCGCTTCGCTTGCGTTGAGGGCACAGATCTTCCTCGCTTGCTGGAGAGCAGGAGGGCATCAGCGTAGCTCGGCTCGCTTGTGCTAGCTGGAATTGGAATGGCTGTACCGCTGCATTTGAAGTACTTAGTTGAAATCTGGTGATAGTCTGCAGCGGCGGGCATCTGGAGTGGAGCTTGCAAGCGGGAGAGGCTATCGCTTGCGGCTATGAAGGTGGCCGCTTGCCTCTCATGCCTTAGTGTTTTCAAAGTGTGTCTTGGGCGCTTGCGAGCGAAGGCGGCTGTCGCTTGCGGCGTCTGCCTTAACTTTTCTAGCTCTAGAATACCGCTTAAGAGGGCAAAAATCGTTAATAGTCTCAACAACGAATTCTGGATCATGCCTAGTGATATATATCAATATTGTATGCCGATTACGAATTATTTTGATGGTTCTTATGCAGAAATTCAAGTAATACACATTTTTGTCAACCTAAGAATATGCTCATATTTGGAGTCATCAATAATAAAAAAGATATAAATTTGAAAGGTATTACTTCCTTCGTCTCTTAACAATGCATTTATTTATTTTTTTTGCATAATTATACTTACCATTAAAAATATTCTTACATTTGTATAATCTTTTATACAAATATCATTAGTTTGCACTATACAACACCAATAAAGATTTTTTTTTTTTTTTATCTTGATTTGTACCTGTATGAATATAATATTAATACTTAAAGTTCTAAAAAAATAAATAAAAAATGAATACGAGAGAAGTAGTATATAATTTATATAAAAATAAGATATTTTTTAATACACTTCCCGTGTTAACCCAAACTACTATTTTTACAATTTCGTCGGTTTCACTTAAAAGTATTTATTTTTTATTTTAGCAAAAGTAATTATATGATAATATCAAAATACTTTTAACTTTTAATTAAATTACAAATATATTATTAGACATATAATTATTTTATAAAGTCAAAAAATAAAAATGAAAAAACTTCTTATACATTTTCACTAATCATTATGGGTGCGATTGACAATTAGCTGCTAGCGGAATTCAATTAGTTATTTATACGTAAAATAACAATTAAGGACATTGAAATGTTATATTTTAAAATATTTAATTTCGTTCATTTTAATTTAAAATTTATGACAATTTTTGTTATCAATTATTCAAAATTATTAAAATATTATGAAATTTTTTTTTTTTATTTTAGATTTGAAAAAAATATTTTTATTATAATATTTTTTTATTGAAATTATGTAAAATATGAAATAATAAATATTTCATGTATATATATATATTATGTTAATTATTGTTTATTGTAATGTAAAATTTATATAATAAAAAAATATATAAATAAATTAATAATATTTGTCTTTTCTATCTGATTTAATTTTAATAGATTTATATATTTTACAAATAAAATAATTTATATGTAATAATTAATAATAATAATTATTTTAAATTTATAAAAATAAAATTATAATTTAATAAATTATTAATAAATACTGCAATAAAAATATATTTATATGTATGAGATAAATAATTAATTTTCAAGGATAAATTAAAAATAAGCCAAATTAAAGTGAAAAAACTCTTCCAAAACACTGGGTTTATTAGTTTTTTAGAAATTAGGTGGGTCCAAAAAATTATTTCAAAAAACTAATTTACCAAACATGTAAATTATTAAACAACCTTATTGTTTAATAAGTTGGGTCCAAAAAATTGTTTAATAAATTAAAAACTCTTAAAAAAATTTTTTTCCAAACACCTCATAATTGACTTGTATTTACTCAAAGGTCACTCAACTTTATAAAATAAAATAAAATAGCAACTAAGAACTCCAGTGTTATAAAAATAAAAATAAAACAAATACTCTATTTAAATTACACATTAAATCTTTTTTTTTTTTCAAAAAACCACAGATTAACATTACCTGAATTGATATAAAAAATATTATAAGAGTAATAACAATTAAAAAAATATTCGTTCAGTCCATGAATAAATTTCTTATTTAATTTTTGTATGTGGATAAATTAAATTAAGGCTTTATAAATATAATGTAATAAAATAATATAATATCTATTTTTACCTTTAATATTAAACTAAAATAATACTTCATTAGTTCCAATAGAGTAATCTTGTTTTTTTATTTTCGTCTGTATAAAAACAATTGTCTTATTTTATTATTCAGTAATTGTGGTCTTCATTTTATAACGAAATTATTAATTTTTCAAACTACCTTTAATTATTACTTTAACCTATTTTTTTAAAATCATTCAAAAAATAATGATATTTTAATATTTTAACTTTATACTTTATATGCATTTTTAATTAAATAATATTATTTTTTAATTTCTGTGTCTATCCCAATAGGACATTTTCTCTAGAACTGAGGGAGTATGAAAAAGTATAAAATATCTGTATTTTGATATTTAGTTAAAAATTATTAAATTATAATTTGTACTAATTAAAATAATACTTCATCCTTTTTTTTTTTTTTTTTAAGTCTTTACTGTTTTACAATAGATTAAAAAATAATAATATTTTATTGGTAGATGAAAGTATGGAAAATATTTTAACATTTTTGTTAATTTTTTGTTTAAAGTAATTGGATGTATAATGATATTTTGTAATTTAAGTAAAAATTAAAAATATTTATGTACTAGTATATAATTTTTTTTAAAAAAATTTAAAAAATAATATTTTAAAATAAGATATAAGAAAATGAAAAAAATTATACTTTCACGAGGAAATAATAAAATGAAAATTTTACCATAGTAGATTACATCGACAATATTACTTTGTGGAGCCCACAGTAACGGTTGGCTCAGATTAGTCTGGATTCTCTCGGCAGTCAATATTGGTCCAGGACCACAACACCCCGCCAGTTTGGTTTGCTTTAAAAATCAAAAAATTGAGGCGGCGGCTGACCCAAAACAATTCCCGCCACCGTGCCCACAAAAAGCATCAGCGCGCACGATCAACGCCGCATAGCTAGTGGGGGAGACCGGCCTGGCCTGGCCTTCAGCAGTATATGTGGAAGACAAGGATTCATTCTGTTTGTATGTATATGCATATGTATGAATTTTGTGTATTTGTGATCGATTGTGTGCCTGTTTGAATGAATTTCGTCAAATTGCTTGCCCCGAAGGCGTTTCTTGAATCTGATCTCGCCAATTTTATTTTTTATTTTTCTCCATTCTAAATGATCTTTGTTTGCTTGAATTGATGAAGCTGCAGTTTCTTCTGAGAATATCTTTACCTCTATAGTGAAGATATTAATTGGTACTCTTAGGTTTTAATTGCAAATGGGATAATATGATCGACGAATTAATGCTCAACTAGAACGATACCTGCTTTTTCGTTTATTCTGGTTGATTTTGGCTTTGCGTCGTACTTGCTTTCTTCAGATTTGGTCTGGATTCCCACCTCTCACGTATTTGAAATTTACTGAAAGTTCGTTATGTAGTCACTAGTTTTTGTGGTTAATTTATGTGGCCAATAATTTTATAGTCTGGTGCGCTATGAGAGCAATGATCTCAGAGGGAGGGCATTTGATGTTGAGTCAATGAAATAGTGTTATTATTATTACATTAAATCTACACTGTAATGAGTAAGTTTGGTAGAAAATATAAGCTTGAAGATGGTTATTTCTAAGGCATGGCGTATTGATTAATTTGAATTTGAACAGAGGTAGCAGATTGCATAATTATTCAATTCTCGAAGCTAGTATATCTGTGCAAGAATTTGTGTAAGTTATTCTTAATGGATTAGTAATCATATATCCAGACAAAGTGAATGTTTGTTTGATACATATCTTGCAGCTGTCTTCCATGTTTATAGACTATTGTGTGGAATCTGTCGCAGAGAAAATGAGGACGCCTAAATTAGAGCCACAGCTAAGGAAGCAGATTCCACATTCAAAGATTAAATTACAGCTTTTCCCAGTAAATAAGAACACTCGGCGAGGATTAGAGAAGGTATATATTGTGCTGTGCCAAAAGTGAATAGGCTTCCCCATTTCTTTTATAAATTGATAACTAATGAAGTAATGCGTTGAAATACTTAGGTGTCTTTCCTTTTGCTATATTTTGTTGCAGGATGGTTATAACCCATTTTTGGAACTCACTTTGAGTGCTCGGAAGAAGATATCATCGGTTGTTAGGCACTTGGATACAAAATGGGGCAGTTCAAGTGTAGCAGTTGGACAGCTAATGCTTGTGCCCGACACTATGAAATTGGAACAGCGCCTGTCTAGTAGAAGATGGACTATTAATGATCGTGCCATTACTGTGTGGGATGTGTATCTTGCAGTGAAAACTCCTTCAGTATTCTGCCTCAGGTGTGAAAATTGAAGTCAGTTATGTGTCGAGAACTTCTTTTTATTCCACTTCACTTGTTTTTCTTTCAGGTATGGATGGGGCTCTAATAATCCTTTGGAGATATGTAATGTGCCTCCAAAATCTTGCCCTCCAGAGGATCACATCTCTTCTTTGGGAAACAACAAACCTTTTGGAAGATTTTTGGATAAAAACAATCAAGAAAATATCTTAAATGACCATGAGACTCGCGTAGACCAGCAAAAAGAGAATGTGAAACAGAGCTTGCTGTTGGATGTGAAGGAACTGAAGGTCTTGGATGTGCATAATGATACTCTGGTAATCTCTTGGTGCACATTTTCACTTATATTTGTGTGAAGCTGAATTTATAGAAATTTATTAATTGTTTAAAAAATTTAGAAAATTTGTGATTACTGGTGAGTGTTAGTCTTTTTCTTATTAGGCAGATTTGGTTCATTATAAGATTAAATATCAATTGTCCTGTGTGGAACTCATGTTTTTTTCGAAAAGGAAAGACTGAAAATAAATATGCAAATAACCTGATTAAATTGCTACTTAATAAATGTGGAATCAACATCACATATTGAGCAATAAATAAAATAAAGTGATTGTTTGAATTTTACCATGGTCTTTTTGAAAATGCAAATCTCATTGGGAAGTAGTTAAGATGTAATCCTTGTTATTATCCTTGTACGTCCAATAGCTAAGCTCAGATAGTAGTTAAAACATTAGATGATGCTTGTCAATTTAAAACATAGAGATAACATGTTTGTTTGGTTGTGATTTAAAATTGATTTGAAGTTGAGCGTTGATTTGAGTTTTTGTTTAAATAGTATTTTGATTTGATATTTTGTGAGCGGAAATAGTATATTTATTTTGGGAACCATCCATAGTGAATAGCATTGATTTCGGTTTGAGATGACAACCAAACACTCTTTTCATGCTCTTGTGTTGGTATGTTTTCAAGGTAAATTTTTGGCAACATATTAAAATTATCTACTCTTTTGCCTTCGGTTATATATTTGAACCTCCCTCAAGGCCAATACACTTTAGGTTTATAGATCACTTATCTGACAGAAGTTAAAACTTGATCTGCTGCTTATGAGAATGTGAGTTTGCATCTTCTTTTGTTAGGATGATAGAGTGTTGACGGACGCTGCCCCTTTAGAATCAACAATACCGTGGGATGATTTAACTAACTTGAGCATTGGAGGTCTACTCTCTGAGATTTCTTTGATGGGTAAAATTAAAGAATCAGATACAAATAATGCCAAAGACTCTGCTGGACAAATATCTAACATCAATATGTCGGGTCTAGTGTCTGAAGCATCCCTGCAATGTAAGATAAGCAACCCAGATATGAAACTGGAGAACAGATCAACATTGCAACCAATATGTCTGACAACCAGCGATACAAGCATTGGAGGATTATTAGGCGAAGCATCTTTGTTTTCAAACAAGAGAAAGTTGGATACACAATCAGCCGAAGGGAGGCTTGCACCACCTCAGTCTCCATGGGATGATAGTTTTACCAATTTAAGCATTGGAGGCCTGTTGTCTGAGGTATCCTTGCAGGCCAAGGCTCGCGCCAAACTGGAAGCGAAAGAGGACCACTCAAACTTGCAGCCTAATATATCTGTACCTGACTCATTTGATGCTTTTATTGCTGCTCAGCTGAATGCAGATTTGCAAGCGGTAAAACCAACGAGCCATGAGTTGAGATCATCTATCTTGGATGCTGAGGACACATGCCATGCTTTTCCTTCTCAGAGACTTCAACCATCAAGCACGGATGCTCTGAGATCTAGCCGAACTAGTGGATGCAGCGGTTCTGCAAATCCTACAGTCTTTAAGTTTCCTAACCTTGTTAAGGTATGTGAATATCTACCATAAATTGTTTTGCAAATTTTATATACATTTTGTGTGTGTTGTGTGATTATTAACATGGGACACCTTCATAACTAGGCAGCAAGGATCATAAATTTTCAGGTGTTTTGAATGTGTGAAATAGTTGTGCTCTTGTTAATTTGAATGATTATGCTTAGTTAATATTTATTTGTAACATATATTTGATTTGATAGAACCATTGTAAAATGATTGATTTAAGTGTAGAATATAAGATACGATGATGTAGTATTATGTGTTTAAGCGAGCATGAAAATTTTGAATTTGAGTATAGTTTGATAATTGAAGATGTATACTAAATAGTTGCATTTTTCATACTTATGCAAGAAAAAAAAAATACTGATTTATACTTTGTAAATTTGATGTTTTGAAATATTTTTGGATAGAAAAAGACATCCAAAGTTCCAAACAATGATTAATAGGTAATAATCACTATTTAGCTCCTACAAGAGAAGTTTCAGATGAGAATTTGACAGAGTTGTTGGCGAAAACATTCATTTAGGTGTCCTCTGTATGCTGTTTCCACCCGAGGTGTCGATTGTTACTTCTGAAGTGCTCTTCTATTGTTGGTACCGTTCAATATTTTACAATAACTTCATTGGGCAATATCTGATTGTTTTAAGCAATTTATTCTACAAGATTTATGTTAAATATCAGTAGAATAGAGTGTGCAACATCGTCATCATTTAACTCTAGAAATCTGAATGCATTTGCATTTTAAGTTGTAAGTCTACTTTCATACATACATGTTTATAATCCTACTTGTATCTTTTGATCTGCAGATGGATAGAGAAGCCAACCTAAGTAATGATATTTCGCGAAGATGAATCTTTGGCCTCATTCACTTGGAACCATTAATGAGTAAGAGTTGTCGTCGGCTCTTCAGGTATCGTCATTCACTCAGGCAATACTGTCTTCGCTTTACACAAAGTGTGTTCTAAAGCCCAACTCATTTGTTGCCTAATAAAATCATACTCTTATATATGGTGCTGTAAAATGAAAAGACGATGGTTAGTCTGCTGAGGGGTCAAATCAACATGCACGATTTCATGTTGAAATCAAATTAAATCAGGTAAGCTGCAGGTAACTTTGCCTGCAGACTGAGATAGGATTGGATTATAAAACAATGGGATAATGGTTTCTTACATTCGTATGAACTATGAAAACAAATTATTAAGGAATGATTGCTTCAGATTTTGATATGATCACAATAAGCAACGTTGTATAAAGTCTTAATCCTAAACCTCCACTTTCTTTTTTTTTTTTTTTTTTTTTTTATTATTCTTTCGTTTAAATTCAAATATAATTATCTAGTTTCTTTACTCAAATGTTACCGTATCGAAATTTTGATATATTTTTTTGATACGGTATGTGCAGCATTTCGATATTTGATATTTTTCTCACCTCTACATAGGATGAATTAAGTTGGAAACAAATTTGCAGATTCAATAGAATTAACACCACCTAGAAAACATTATCCATAGGGATTGTTTCCGGATGTCTTCCTCAACTCCTTGAGAGGGATTGTTCAAGTATTTTATAATGGCTTCTCTTTAGTTTACCTTTCTATAGTAACAGGGTATATGTACTTCTTCGAGATTCATTTGATGTTAAAATATTTTAGATATTCAGTTTTAGATTTAGTAGATTTATATTTATATTTAATCTTATTCATAGATTAGATTACTTAGATTTGAGTCTATCGAGTATGTTTTGTATTGCCTATATATAGGTTTCTTATTTTGATGATCAACAAGACAATCTCATTATTTTTCTCAAAATTTTTAACATGGTATCAGAGCCTATTTTTCTCATGCCGTAGATATAGCCTACAACCTACCAACCCATGTTTCTCTAGGTACATTCAACCTGGATTGTACCCGGAGGTCTTGTGATTTTGAGTTAATGCCTTTGCAAGTTGTCTTTTTGCAAGTCTGTCTCGTTTCGTCTCCGATCTGCCATCTGTCCACTGCTTGTCTGTTGCCTGTGTGCAATTTGAAATCTTTGTTGCTTGTCTGTTGCCTGCGAGCGATCTGAAACGATCTGTCATATGTTCGTTGTCTGTCTGTTGCTGCGTGCGATCTGCCATTTGTCGTTGTCTGTCTGTTGCAGCGTGCGATCTGCCATATTTCGTTGCTTATTTGTTGCCGGAAATCTGTCAATGATCTGCCATCTGTCCGTTGTTTGTCTGTTGCCTACGTGCGATCTAATTTGTCTGATGTTTGCGATTTGTCTGTTTTCGGCTCCGGTGGTCATATGGTTTTCGACTCCGGTGAAGAGTCATCTTGTTTTCGGCTCCAGTGGAGCGTCATCTCGTTTTTCGGCTTCGGTGGAGTCATCTTGTTTTCAGTCATCTTGTTTTCGGCTCCGGTGGAGTCATGTGATTTTCTGCTCCGGTAGAGTCATGTTGTTTTCGGCTTCAGTAGAGTCATGTCGTTTTAGGCTCCGGTGGAGTCATCTCATTTTTTTACTCCGGTGGAATCATCTTATTTTCGGCGACGGTTGAGTCATCTCGTTTTTGCTCCGGGGTGGAAAGTCATCTCGTTTCCGGTTCCAATGGAAAGTGAACTATTATTTTTATTTATGTTTTTTTTGTGTGTATATATTCAGATATCTTATAAGCTCAAGTTAGTTTCTGTTATATCAGTTAAGTTTGAGGGGATGTTAGAGATATTTTAGAAATTCAATTTTAGATTTAGTAGATTTATATCTAGATTTAATTTTATTCATAGATTAGATTACTTAGATTTGAGTCTATCGAGTTTGTTTTGTATTGCCTGTATATAGGTTTCTTATTTTGATGATCAACAAGACAATCTCATTGTTTTTCCCCAAAATTTCTAACAATTGATTTGTACTCCATTGCAGCTTGGGCCAAATTATTCTCCATATTTTCTTCCTTTGGGACAGAGGTCAATTGTATTCTCCGTACATATATATATATATATGATATAAATGAGTATTGCTGTGATGTTTTAAATGTAAAATTGATTTTTAGTATAATATAAGAAATAAAAATAGGTGTTTGATTTGATATTTTTGGGGAAAAAAATTTGGAGAATGTGCGCCCAAATCAATCGATTTGTGTTGGCCAAAGGATTTAAGTCAACATTAGGTCTCGAAGGTATTCTAAACAACTCCATGAGATCACTTGTTTAAAAAATAAATTCTATTTTCCTATTTCCACATACATAATATGTATATGTACACACGTATATGTATAAAATGTTATACGTGTGTATATATACACAATGTGTGTATATATACACAATGGGACAGTATTCTCCGTCTGCATAAGGCTTTATTTATATACAGGCCTAGTCGAAAGAATAATATGAAAAAGAATTCGAAATAATCTTAGCTATTCCTAAAAATAAGGAATTAGTTGGAAAAAAAAACAAATCCTAACAAATATCAACGGACAAGTTTTAACCAATAACCTCTTGTAAATAATTTGTTTTTGATAATATAGAAATCCGCAATCGTTACTCGACAAATGCGTTATGGGTAAATTCTGATCGAATTTAATAGTTTACAAACTAGACACGACAAGTTATATTAGGCGAATCATGTATGACAGACAAGACCTAGAATTATCTGACCTCCGGTCACGAGTTCGTCCCTACAACACCACCGGATCATCTTTTATGAGACATAATAAACATGCATTTATATATATATATATAACGTGGGAATCAACAGCCGCTACCGAAAGTGCGTACTGGATAAACCCCAAATCGAATATAATACCCTGCAAACTAGGTCCGCCAAGGCAAGTTACACTAGACAAATATGCATTTTGTTTTTGTTTTTGTTTTTGTTTTTCTTAATAATGTGGGAATCTACCACCGCTACCCGAAAGTGCGCACTGGGTAAACCTCCAATCGAATCTTCCCTACAAACTAAACCTGCCAACGCAAATCACAATAGGCAAACCTGTAAGCGTCGGAATTTAAACTCATGACCTGACGGACGGCTGTAGTTTATATACAATTATATCTTTTTAAGGCTGGGAAAGGCCCTATAAAAGAGTCATTATTTATAGTTATGTCCATATTTGTTATGTCTGACTCTGTCTATAAGATTTGTTTAAGCTAAAACAATTTCTTTGGCTAGATTCAAGCCGAGTGTCACTAAAACTCCTTTCCGCCAAAAAGAAATATCGTCTTTTGGCCCGTTGGGCTTGGTGTAACATACACATAATAATAATAAAAATATATAAAATATTATTCTTTATAAATACAAATACTTCGTAATAAAAACACTTAAATTATAAATTCTAAAACAAAGTTATAGTATTAACATATTCATATATTCCCTCCATCTCAACTTATCTTTTTTATCATTTTTGTTTTTTTTTTATGATTTTTTTTTGTCACACTCAAAAATATTTTTTTTATATACACTAATATCAAAATATTTTTAATTTTTATTTAAATTATAAACATATATAATTATTTTATACAAAAGTATTAAAATTTCATGCATATTTTTACTAACTAATAAATAATATTAATTTTTAATCTATTGCAAAAGTTCAAAATGATACATTCAAATGAGACAGAGTGGGTATATTTTAAAAAAAGTTTTATATATTAAATTCATCAATATTGTATGCTATTTGTATAATAAATATATACTAGTACGATATTGAATATATTATACTTTTCTCTTCAGCAAATATTTATATATATATATACACATATATTATTGTTGATGTAATTTTTCAACAAAAATAAAGTAAAATTCAAAGATATAGAAAATATCCTTAAACTTGATTAATTAGTGCCTGAGATTAGGAATCTCTAAACACTGTATGGTACAGAAAATAAACTGGAAAATAAAAGACTGAAATTTAAAGTGGTGATCCCCAAATCTGACTTTGCTTTGTTGAAGTTGATTGAAGATACCCATGCCAAATGAGAATCCAAACCCTTATATATTCTCTGGGAAACTGTACTGAAAACCGTCGCCCGAACGGTTACAACGTCTCCTTCCCAACCGTCTTCCAACCCTTCTCCTGCTGACACGTGTCCTTAGCAGACCAAAATTATCCCTATATTTCACTCTTTGAGCCGACCACAGACCTTCCGCCCTTTTGGCCCGACTGCCAAACTACAACCGTATTGGTCCGACTGCCAATCCTCCCGACTTGCAAACCATCTGACTTGTTTGGATTAGCTACAGACATCCCGACTAACAAACCATCCGATTTGTTGGTCCTGCCGCAGAGTTCCGACCTGAGAACTTCCCGACCTGCGGACTTCCCGTTCTGAGGGCCTCCCGACCTGCGGACTTCCCGTCCTGAGGGCCTCCCGACCTGCGGACTTCCCGTCCTGATGACTTTCCGTCTTGAGGACCTCCCGACCTGAAGACCTTCCGACCCGAGGTCTTTCCGTCCTGAGGACTTTCCGTCTTGAGGACCTCCCGACCTGAAGACCTTCCGACCTGAGGTCTTTCCGTCCTGAGGACTTTCCGTCTTGAAGACCTCCCGACCTGAAGACCTTCCGACCTGAGGTCTTTCCGTCCTGAGGACTTTCCGTCTTGAGGACCTACCGACCTGAAGACCTTCCGACCTGAGGTCTTTTCGACCTGTATTTTCCTTAGAAATAAACCTATTTTCCTTGAGCCAGTTCAACCAACTCTAATGCCAGACCCATTCTTCTTTTACCTTGGGCTTTTTAACCTAGTTCTAAATTTCATACGTAACAACTTGCCCGCCGCCAAGGGACTTTCAAACGCCATTTATCAATCGAAGTTTGGAAGTTCATAAATCACCATCCTCTGAAAAATTCCCTTAGCAACCGCACCAGTTACTGCAACACTCCTGATTAACTTCCTTCTCCGCAATACGAGCCTTTGTGAATTACAATCTCAATCACTCTAACCATGGTGAATCGATACATTCCTGCCCTTCCCTTCGACGGAAACCTCCCAGAGGGCCCCTTTTCAGCCTCGAAAGTATTAACTCCGACGATTCGCCCATACTGCACTACACCTGAAGACTCAAATCGGATGAGGGAAGTTTTGGAATCCCGAAATTCCTTGGCCATCAACAACCCTAATTACCAAGCAGTTCGCATTCGCGACAGCATCAAAACCCATCTCACAGACCCAAAAGATCCTTATCGCTCTTGGTATCGACGGGTAGCAGAACACTTCCAGACCCAATGGCGATCTCAAAAAATCGACCAAGCAATACTATTGTCCA